ATTTGTTCTTTGGAACTAGGGGAAGGCCTAGCAGGCTAAAGTTTTTCTACAGGCAAGAGGCAGGCAGAGGACAGGGGAGGGTCTGTCCCGGGAAGGCCCCAGAGGGTCCTACTCGGTTACATATTGATCTTGCATCTTGCAACCTTGCTGAACTTGCTTATTAGTTCTAATAGGTTTTAGTGGATTCCTTAGGATTTTCTATTTCTATTTTAATTTTGTCCCCATTTTCTTGCTATTTGCCCTGGCTGGAACCTCCAGGACAATGTTGAATAGAGGCAACAAGGGAGAACAACCCCTTCTTATTCCTGATCTTAGGGAGAAGCATTCATTCTTTTCACCATTAAGAATGATATCAGGGCTTCCCTGGTGGCGCAGTGGTTGAGAGTCCGCCTGCCGATGCAGGGGACACGGGTTCGTGCCCCAGTCCGGGAATGATCCCACATGCCGCGGAGCGGCTGGGCCCGTGAGCCTGTGCGTCCGGAGCCTGTGCTCCGCAACGGGAGAGGCCACAACAGTGAGAGGCCCGCGTACCAAAAAAAAAAAAAAACTAGGACTAGAAAGGAAATTTCTCAACCTGATAAAAGCAGTATCTACAAAACCCCCACAGCTGATATCATTCTTTCCTTTTTTTTTGGCGTTACGCGGGCCTCTCACTGTTGTGGCCTCTCTCGTTGCGGAGCACAGGCTCCGGACGCACAGGCTCACGGGCCCCGCCGCTCCGCGGCATGTGGGATCCTTCCCGGACTGGGGCACGAACCCGTGTCCCCTGCATCGGCAGGCGGACTCTCAACCACTGCGCCACCAGGGAAGCCCCTCTAGTCCTAGTTTTTTAAGTGTTGTTATCATGAAGAAATGTTTTGGATTTTGTCAAATGCTTTTTCTGCATCTACTGAGATGATCATGTGGTTTTTGTCCTTTATTTTGTTGATATGGTATATGATATAATTAATTTTTGGATATTAACAGTTGGTTTGCTTTTTTTTTGAGAATTTTTTTTTTTTTTTTTTGGGCGGTCCGCGGGCCTCTCACTGTTGTGGCCTCTCCTGTTGCGGAGCACCGGCTCCGGACACGTAGGCTCAGCGGCCATGGCTCACGGGCCCAGCCGCTCCGCGGTATGTGGGATCCTCCCGGACCGGGGCACGAACCCGTGTCTCCTGCATCGGCAGGCGGACTCTCAACCACTGCGCCACCAGGGAAGCCCATTTTTTGAGAATTTTTGCATCTATATTTTAAGGAATTAGTCTGTTCTTGTGATGTCTTCCTTTTTTTTTTTTTTTCCCACAGAGCAACGCTAGCTTCATAGAATTAGTTGAGATGTGTTCCCTCCTTTTCTAAATTTTACAAGTTAACATTTAAGGAAGTTAACATTTAACACCAATCCTGGAAGTTCTAGCCTGAAAAATCAGACAAGAAAAATAAATAAAAGGCATCCAAATCAGAAAAGAAAGAAAGTCTCTGTTTGCAAATGCCGGGCTCTTATATACAGAGAATCCCAAAGAATCCACAAGGAAACTAGTACAGCTAATAAATGAGTTCAGCAAAGTTGCAGGATAGAAGCTCAACCCACAGAAATCAGTTGTGCTTCTACGTATCATCAATTAACAATCAGAAAATGAAATTAAGATAATAATTCTCTCTACAATAGCATCAAAACAAACAAAAAAACCACAGGAATAGACTTAACCAAGGAAGTGAAAGAGTTGTATAATAAAAATGACAAAGCATTGTTTAAAGAAATTAAAGAAGATGTAAATAAATGTAATGACACCCCATGTTCATGTATTGGAAGACTTACTATTGCTAAGATGGCTATGCTACCCAATGCAAACTGCAGATTCAATGCAATCCCTATCAAGATTCCAATGGCCTTTTCTGCAGAAATGGTACGGCTGCTCCTCAAATCCATATGGAATTGCAAGGGGCACTGAATAACCAAAACAATATTGAAAAAGAACAAAGTTGGAGGACTCACATTTTCCAATTTCAAATTTTTCTATAAAGCTATAGTTATCAAAACAGTGTGGTGCTGGCATAAGGATAATACAGATAGGACAATGGAATAGAATAGAAAACCCAGAAATAAACTCTATGTCTATGGCCAATTGATTTTCAACACAGGTGCCAGACCCTCAGTGGGTAAAGAATAGTTTCTTTAACAAATGGTGCAGGGACAACTGGACATCCACGTGCAAAAGAATGAAGTTGGAGCCCTACCTCACACCATATGCAAAGATTAACTCAAAATAGATCAACAATCTAAATATAACAGCTAAAATCATAAAACTCTTAGAAGAAAACAGGGGTAAATTTTCATGACCTTGGATTTGGCAGTGGATTTTAGAAATGACACCAGAAGCAGAAACAACAAAAGAAAACATAGATAAATTGGACTTCATCAAAATAAAAGACTTTTGGGTTTCCCTGGTGGCGCAGTGGTTGAGAGTCCGCCTGCCGTTGCAGGGGACGCGGGTTCGTGCTCCGGTCCGGGAAGATCCCACATGCCACGGAGCGGCTGGGACCGTGAGCCATGGCCGCTGAGCCTGCGCGTCCGGAGCCTGTGCTCCGCAATGGGAGAGGCCACAGCAGTGAGAGGCCTGAATACAGCAAAATAAATAAAGACTTCTGTGCATTAAAGGTCATTATCAATAAAGTGAAAAGACAACCTACAATGGGACAAAATATTTGAAAATCATATATCTGATAAGGGTCTACTATCCAGAATACATAAAGAATTCTTACAACTGAACAGCTAAAGTTTTTAACCCAATTAAAAAATGGGCAAGGTGGGACTTCCCTGGTGATCCAGGGGTTAAGAATCTGCCTTCCAATGTGGGGGACATGGGTTCAATCCCTGGTCTGGGAACTAAGATCCCACATGCCGCGAGGCAACTAAGCCTGCATGCTCTAGGGCCCACATGCCACAACTAGAGAGCCTGTGCGCTGCAACTACTGAGCCTGTGCTCTAACTAGAGAGGAGCCTGCATGCCATAACTAGAGAGAAGCCCACGTGCTGCAACGAAGGGCCCGGGTGCCACAGCGAAAGATCCTGCAACTAAGACCCGATGCAGCCAAATAAATAAATATATTTTTTAAATGGGCAAGGGACTTGAATAGACATTAATCCAAATAAATTATATAATTTCACCCACTAGGATGGCCATAAGTGAGTGGAAAATAACAAGTGTTGAAAAGGATGTATAGAAACTGGAATCCTTGTATATTGCTAACTGGAATGTAAAATGGTTCAGCTGCTTGGGAGACATTTTGATGGTTCTTCAAAAAGTTAAACAGAAAATTACCATATGACCCAGAAATTCCAGTCCTAGGCATATACACCAAAGAATTGAAAATAGTTGTTCAAATACTTGTACCCGGATGTTCATAGCAGCACTAGTTACAATAGCCAAAATATAAAACATGAAAGCTCAAATGTCTATCAGTGGATGAACAGATGAATTGTGGAATATCTATACAGTGCAATATTGGTCTGCCATAAAAGGGAGTGGAGTACTGACACATGCTACAACCCAGATGGACCTTGAAAACATTATGCTAGGGCCTTCCCTGGTGGCGCAGTGGCTGGGAGTCTGTCTGCTAATGCAGAGGACACGGGTTCGGGCCCTGGTCTGGGAGGATCCCACGTGCCGCGGAGCCACTGGGCTCGTGAGCCACAACTGCTGAGCCTGCGCGTCTGGAGCCTGTGCTCCTCAACGAGAGGCCGCGATAGTGAGAGGCCCGTGCACCGCGATGAAGAGTGGCCCCCGCTTGCCACAACTAGAGAAAGCCCTCGCGCAGAAGCGAAGACCCAACACAGCGAAAATAAATAAATAATTAATTAGGGAAAAAAGGCACTTAAAAAAAAAAAAACATTATGCTAAGTGAAAGAAGTCAGACACAAAAAGGCAAATATTCTACGATTCCATTATTTGAAATATCCAAACTAGATAAATCCATAGAGAGAAGGTAGATTGGTGGTTGCCAGTATGTGCAAGGAGCAGGGGGACGGGAAGATGTTCTTGATGGGCATGGGGTTTTATCTGGTGATGATTAGAATGTTTTGGAAGTAGATGATGGTGGTTGCACAATATTGTGAGCGTACTAAACTTCAGTGAATTGTTCATTAAAACGGCTAATTAAATGCTATGTGAATTTCAAAAATGTGTAAAACATTTATCATTTTGTGAAATAGTACGATGTCTGGGATTTGGTCCAAAATAATGAGGTGGGGTAGAGGTACAAAAAGTAAAAACAAAAACATGTTTCTCTCCGAGCTGTATAGGAAACAAAACAAGAGACTGAAATGGGTAGAAGCCTAGAGTGCGGAAATCCAGGTGAGAAACGCGGCGGGGCGCTTTGTGTGGGGGGAAGGGGCTAGAACCCAACAGCCCTGACGTGTATCTGTAGACAAAAGCAAGAGGACTGATAGGGCAAAGAAAGAGATCCAGATTTTTGTCTGAACCCTGGAGGCAGGGGTGCCTTTGCCGAGCTGCGGGGAACCGCGGACACGAATCAAGGATTGCTCTTGGGAAATCATCTCCTTGTGCACCTTAAACTTACACAACTTCACGCGTCGGTTGTATCCCAACAAAATTGGGTAAATACACATATATATATTTTTTTTAAAGGGATTGCTCCTCGGGTTTAGGGCGCGCTGCGCTTCAGACACCGGCGGAGACGCAGAGGAGGCGGGCGGTGCTCTGCCGCGTCTTCCCCCCGCGTCTTAAGTGTCCTCCCGAGGGACGCGAGGGCCTTCACCGTCTTCGCGCCCTCCCGGAGCGGGCTGGGGGCGACGGCTGCCGCGACCCCGACTCTGCCCGCTCGGGGCCCCACCCGGCGACACCTGCCAGGTGCGCTGCGTGTCTACGCCCGGAGCCCCCGCGGCTCGGGGACCGACCTGGGGCGGGGCGAGGCGGGACAGGGCGGGGAGCGCGAGGCCACGCCCGGGAGGCGGCCACGCCGGCGCCCCCCAGCCCGCTTCACAGTCCCAGCAGCTCGGGGCCATGGCGGCGGCCGAGCCCAAGACCCCCGCGGGGACGGCCGCGGCCCGACGCCTGGCCCGGAGCTGCTGGTCCGCGTTCTGGGACTACGAGACGCCCAAGGTGATCGTGGTGAAGAACCGGCGCCTGGGCATCGTGTACCGCGCGGTGCAGCTGCTCATTCTGCTCTACTTCGTGTGGTGGGTGCGCACGGGGGAGACCCGGCGGCAGGGGGTGTCCAGCGGGGTCCGGAGCGTAGGGGAGGGCGCCGCCGGGACGTCCCAGGTTGGAGGGGCCGCTCTGGGCGGGGGGGCGAGGAGGGTGTCGGCGGCGGCCGCCAGGCTGGCCCCTCGGGCGCCGCAGAGCCTACCTGGCCGGCCCCCGAGAGGCGGTGACGCAGCCTCGATCCCGCCGGCGTCGAGCTGACTCGGCAGGGGAGGGGTCCAGGGCCTGCCGCGGGGTCGCCTCCAGAGCCGGCCCTGCCCGTTCGCACAGGTACGTGTTCATCGTGCAGAAGAGCTACCAGGACAGCGAGACGGGCCCCGAGAGCTCCGTCATCACCAAGGTCAAGGGCATCACCTCGTCCGAGCACAAAGTGTGGGACGTGGAGGAGTACGTGAAACCCCCCGAGGTGCGCCACTCGGACCCCGCCCCTCCCCCCCCCCCCCCCCCCCCCCGAGGGTGGGACCGAGCGGCGGCCGAGCTGCCCGGCGCCGGCCGACCGTCCCTTGTTTCTGAGCCCAGGGGGGCAGCGTGTTCAGCATCATCACCAGGATCGAGGTCACCCCCTTCCAGACCCTCGGAACCTGCGCCGAGGTGAGGCCGGGTAGAGAGCAGAGCCGGGGCGGGAGGGAGGGGCCCTGCCTGGTCCGCTGCGCCTGGGGGCAAAGGGTGTCGGGCCCCTGACCAAGCAGCCTCCTCCCTAGAGTATGAGGGTCAGAAACGCCACGTGCGACTCGGACGAGGACTGCGTGGCTGGGCAGCTGGACATGCTGGGAAACGGTCAGTGTGTGCCAACTCGGGGCGGGGGCGGGCCGTGCCCCTGAGTGCTCATCTGCCACCTGAGCGCGCGTCTGCCCACAGGCCTGCGGACCGGGCGCTGCGTGCCTTATTACCACGGGTCCTCCAAGACCTGCGAGGTGTCCGGCTGGTGCCCGGTGGAAGACGGGGCCTCAGTCAGGTGTGCACGCCCGCTGTCCCCACCCACCTGGGGCCAAGCTCCTTCGCTCCTTTCTCCTACCTGACCGGAGTCAGGGTGTGTGGGGCGAGAAGGAAGGGAGGGACAGCACCGCGGGGGAGCCTGGGGGACCGGGAGAAGGGGAGACTAAACACACCCAGTCTGTGCCTCCTCAGCCAGTTTCTCGGTAAGATGGCCCCGAATTTCACCATCCTCATCAAGAACAGCATCCACTACCCCAAATTCCAGTTCTCCAAGTAAGAGCCATTAGCGTGTGGTGACCAGGGATGGGCTGCCTCCTGGAATGTGTTGTTTGGGGGTGCATGGCTTCTGCTCCCTCCCCATCTGATGCCACTAGGCCTTGTCTTTAGGGGCAACATCGAGAACCGGAAGGATGGCTACCTGAAACACTGCACATTCCATGAGGTCTCTGACCTCTACTGCCCCATTTTCAAGCTGGGCTACATCGTGGAGCAGGCAGGGGAAAACTTCACGCAGCTGGCACACGCGGTGAGGGCGCCAGGGAGAGTGGGTGGGACAGCTGTCCGTCCAGGTGCTGGCTCCCACCTGCACACAAAGGGTCTCATTACAGCCGAGTCCGTCTGCAGTCTTGGCCAGCCCTGGCCCTGCTCGGGCAGAGGAAAGAGAAACATGATCGTCTGACCCATCTGGGTGTGCATGGCTCCTGCTAAATTATTGACTCCTGGCATCCCCTTGTGCCTCAGAGGCAGGGCACTCAACGAGCCCCCTTCCCCAGCTCTCTGCCCCGAGCTACCCTGGGTGCCTCACAGTATGCACCCCACACGTAGCCTCAGCAGGACCTTGGGGCTGTTGAAGGTCCTCTCTGTGAGCCCACCCTGACCCCGTGTCTGTGCCCACTTCTGGACAGGGTGGTGTAATTGGGGTCATTATCAACTGGGACTGTGACCTGGACCTGTCGGCGTCAAAGTGCAACCCCAAATACTCCTTCCGGAGGCTCGACCCCAAGCACGTCCCAGCCTCATCTGGCTACAACTTCAGGTACCTTGACCTTGGGACACTGGGTCCTCGTCTGCCCTAGCTGTGGAGGTCCAGGAGTCAACAGGGCAGGTGCCCAAAGGTTCAGGGGCGCCAGTGGTCGGCGGAGTCTTGGAGCTGCCCCATTTGGGCAACAGGTGCACCCCCCCGTCATGCTCCTCAGGGTCAGGTGGCCAGGGCTCCTGCACCCGGGTCATTCCCTCCCAGATTCTGACGTGCTTCTGGGTCATTCCGCCTTAGGTTCGCCAAGTATTACAAAGTAAACGGTAGCACCACCCGCACACTCATCAAAGCCTACGGGATCCGAATTGACGTCATCGTGCACGGACAGGTAAACCAGCCCACCCTGCCTACCTGGGGCTTGGGCTGGCCCAGCCTCAATCTCTCCTACCACACCCCACGCCTCCCTCGAGCCCCACTCCCGCATCTCAGGCAGCCTCTTTGCCTCCAGGCAGGGAAGTTCAGCCTGATTCCCACCATCATTAACCTGGCCACAGCGCTGACCTCTATCGGGGTGGTAAGGGATGCACACTAGGGTCACGGGGGGTGGGGGTGGGGGGGGCCGGTGCCAGGCTCTTACGCGTTGGTCTTGCTGGTCTCAGGGCTCCTTCCTGTGCGACTGGATCTTGCTAACGTTCATGAACAAAAACAAGGTCTACAGCCATAAGAAATTTGACAAGGTGTGTACTCCAGGGCCCTCAGGCAGCTGGCCTGTGACTCTGGCCCTTGTTTTGGGCCAGGGCCCTCCCCCACCCTATCCCTGCTCCGCAGACCCAGGCCAGGCTGGCCAACCGCAAGGTGACGGGCAGAGCCAGGCCTGGGCTGTCCCACCCCCATGGCCTTGCCCCACCTCTGCCCCGTCTGAGCAGATGGTGGATGCTCCCAAGCGGGGTGCAGGACCAGGGCTTGGCGCCTCTGAGCCTTCCCAACAGGACTGCGCTCTCACAGACGCCCGAGGTTTGGCCCAGCTCTGAGCCCACTCCCACCTTCTGTCGTGCTGCACTGAAGACCTGGGCCTGCTGGGGGCCCCTGAAGTCTGTGGCCCCAGGAGCGCCCCGCTCCCCAGGGCAGCATGGCTTGGACCTTGGACCTGGGCCCTGCCCACACACCTCAACACTGCGTCGCAGCAAAGCCAGCAGCCAAAGGGCCCCGTGCAACCAGGCAGTGGGATGACATGAAGGGGACGACCCCTGCTCCCGGCCTGCCCATCTTGTCCCCCAGCTGCCCAGGGGCCTGTAGGGGGCAAGTCCCCATTCTCCCCCCAGGCTCTCTGCCCCTCCCCCCACCCACGCACCCCCTACCCAGACCCTTCACTCACCTCAGCCAGGAAATCACACATCCAGAATCCAATAAAGCTGTGACCAGAACCTCCTGGCCTCGTCTTTGGGGAAAAGCATGTTCAGGCTCTTAAGGCAAACATGCAATGTCAGGTCTTTGCGCATGGGGTCTCTCTTTTGGTGTGCTTGGCCCTCCGTATTGCCTTCTAGCCAGCCTGGGTGCCGTGTGGATGTGTCCGCTGCCCCCACATCCAGCCAGGCTACAGTCATGTCTGACCTGGGGGCCAGCGGAGGTGGGGGACACACAGGCTGAGAGCGCACGAGGACCCCCTAGACTCATCCCAGCATGTCCTTCAGGCAGTGCATTTACCAGCTTCCTGCAGGGCTCATCCTGGGCCCCAAACCTCAAAATATAGGAAAAAGCTCATCCTAGACCCCAAACCTCTCAAGGAGGAAGAAAGCCAGTAGGGAGGCGATGAGAGTTGTACCCAAGGAAAACGAAAGCTTAGGCGGACACCAAAATGCCCGCCCAGGCCCTGCGGCTCTATTTCAAATGCGGATTGGGGTGGAGGAAGGAATTCGGTGCTGGGGAACAGGGGTGGACAGGGCAGGACAAGGCTGGAGGAGTGTGGGAAGCCGGCAATAGCTGGATCAGGCCTACGGGTAATCTGGTTACGGCCTTGGATGCTACAGGGGTCATTCCACTTAGCAGCTCTGCCTGGCCAGGCCCTGCTCTGAAGACACCACGACCTGGTTGGATGGCGGTTTCGCCAGCAACGGCTATGATGGTGCACAGACCTGAGGAGGCATAGTCCTTCCCACAGATCCTTTCACCTGTGACCCCGTCGCTCCCAAAGTCAGAGCTGGCCTCCCCACCTGCCAATGAGACCAGCACCACTCACTGGAGCCACAAACCCTTGAGAAGCCCCCACCCAGCACCCCTGCAGATTTTCCTATGCTCGTCAGCTCCCTGGGTCACTCAAATGCCTGTGACATCCAGTGTCTGACTCATAGACATCCAGCTCTAGTTTTAGAGAAACCAGCTTTTCCAGTTGGAGCTGGGCTGCAGCTCAAGAACCAGGGCCAGGGGCTCAGGTTTCCCATCCCCAAGCATGAGAGTGACCCTGGGACCTCCACCGCCCCAGATGCCCCCAGCCCCTAAGCTGGCCTCCACTGGCGCCCCCGGCCCCGCTGCAGGGAGCACAGTGGGGTGGGGGGTGGGGGTTGAGGCACGCAGCCCCACCTCCTCGCTCCTCCGTGCTCCCCTGGGACTTCTCCAGCTCTGCTTCCAGGAAGCGCCGTTAGCCCTCCTCCTCCCCAACTCGGCCCTAATTTGATTTGATCTCCATCTGGGGGCTGACGGGCTCCATCCCCTTCCAAGCCGAGTCAGGTTTCTTGCAGTCACTGGGCCTGGATGCGCCTGGTGGGCAGTACCCAGGGGCCAACAAACCCAGACAGACAGACGTCAGTTACTTAGTCTTCTTTCCTTCCTTCCAGAAACCCAGGCGCAGTGCACAAACATACACACAGTGAAAATTGTAGGAAATGTCAAAGTGTAAAATTAAAACGAAAATCCAAAGTGTAAATTGAGATAACGAGGACAAATTTAAACCAGGCTCCATAGCCAACAGTGGGGCCCCCACTGCCCACCCGTTTGGGGTTTCTGAGTTTATGATTCGTTTTTTTTTTTTTTTTTTTTTTTTTTTGCCGTATGC